GATATTTACCTGTCCATGTTTGTTTGTTTATCTGTTGTGGTTACCTTACTTATTTATTTGTTAGTTGCTGGATGTTTACCTGTTGATGTTTATTTGTCATCTGCTGGATGTTTACCTGTTGTTTGTTTGTCATCTGCTGGATGTTTACCTGTTGATGTTTGTTTGTTAGCTGCTGGATGTTTACCTGTTGATGTTTGTTTGTTAGCTGCTGGATGTTTATGACTTGCTGCCCTTCGACAACCCTGATGGCGGCGTCTGGAAGCAGGGCTTTGACATTAAGTATGACGGCGATGAGTGGGCGGAGCAGCCCTTGGAGTTGTTTCTGGTTCCTCACTCACACAACGACCCTGGTGGGTGGGACTTGTCACATGACTGATGCCCATATGTGTGTCAGGCGTGTTGGGTCTGAACTGACAGCTGCTCTGTGTTTCAGGGTGGCTGAAGACGTTTGACGGATACTACCAGGATCAGACCCGACACATACTAGACAACATGCTCGTGAAGCTTGGCGAGGACAGCAGGTACGATCACTTCCTGTTGACTGAAGGTTCTGCCGCCTCCCGTCGACGGCCTGATTCCCTGTCAGACCTGCTCAGATGATGAGCAGCTGATGGATCACTCTGTCCGATCATGACAAATGGAGACAAATGGACGGGATTATTGATCACAGTTCTGTTGGGCAGGAGGAAGATGATCTGGGCTGAAGTGAGTTATTTCTCCAAATGGTGGAGCGACATCGATGATCAGAAGAGAGCGATGGTGAAACGGTGAAAACACCACCCAAACAAACCAAATCAACTGTTTAATTTGAATACATTTCAGAGCTGAAGGTTAAATCAGATTAAACCACACAGAGTTGAACTGTCGCTGCTCGCTAATATGGTTTCTGCTTCCTGTTTGTAACGGTGTGATCTGGTTGGTCAGCCTGGTGGAGGCGGGGCAGCTGGAGCTGGTGACAGGCGGTTGGGTGATGGCGGATGAAGCCAACTCTCATTACTTCGCTCTGCTGGACCAGCTGATGGAGGGCCACCAGTGGCTGCAGACTCACCTGGGTGCTCACCTGTCCCCCTCACATGTCTCCACTCACCGGCCCCGCCCACCAGCAGCTCTGACACTGAATGTTTGCTCACAGGAGTCAAGCCGAGCAGCGGCTGGGCCATCGATCCCTTTGGCCACTCTCCCTCCATGACCTACCTGCTGAAAGGGGCGGGGCTTATCAATATGGTGGTCCAGAGGGTTCACTACGCTGTGAAGAAGCACTTTGCCCAGCAGCAGACGCTGGAATTTCTATGGCGACAGAGCTGGGGTGAGCTTTCAGGTTTTCAGGATTGCTTAAATTTTCAGAAGGAAGAAATGAAATGAGTCGATGAGAAAAACACAAGAATCTTTAAAATCAATCAGCTGATGGTTGTTTAACTCCTCCCACTTCCTGTGCTGCAGACTCTTCCTCCCGCAGTGACATCTTGTGTCACATGATGCCTTTCTACAGCTATGACGTCCCACACACGTGCGGTCCGAACCCGGCCGTCTGCTGCCAGTTTGACTTCCACCGCCTGCCGGGGGGGCGTGTCTTCTGTCCATGGAGAATCCCGCCTCAGCCAATCACAGACCAGAACGTCCAGGACAGGTGAGCATGGGGACGGGTCACTTTCTTTGTAGTTATGGCAGAACCAGGCTCCTATTTTGAAGATTATCTACAAGCTTTTTTTGAAAGTCCAGGTTCAGTTCTCTTCCTGTTTCCTGCCTCTGACTGAATCCTCCTCGTCATTCCCCGATCTGTTACGAACCCGATCCGTAGTGTAGCTCATTTGCGCATGCGCTGAAAGCAATACTTCTGGGTCGCACGGATCGCCGTTGAATATGTAAGATTAAGGAAAATGTACTAGTATAATTCAGTTTATGAATAAGAACTGTCTTAATTTACTTAGAAAAGTATGTGCTGTATCTCTGCCGATTTTCATGTTGCTTATTTTACACCACTCGTATTTCTGTTAAAATCATTGACATATTTACGTCATGGTTCAAATGATACGCAGCTTCACCACTGAGCGGCGCTGTTTCACCATGGAAATTATTCATTCTGTATCTTGCAGGGTTTCTCTCATTCAGTCCAGGCTGGGGGTCAGGTCGAATGCGTCACATATCATCTTAACCAGTGATTTATAATGGAAATACGAGTGGCATAAATTAGCTAGATGAAGATCGGTGGAGATAGAGCACGTAATTTTCTAAGTAAATTAAAACGGTTTTTATTCATAAACGGCGTTCCGTGCCATCCAGAAGTACACTACGGATCGTGCTTCCGTGACAGATCGGGGAATGACGCTCCTGAACATCTAAGATCTGATTAGAGATGACATGTAGGATATGGGGGTGGCCATGATGTGTAATGTAGCAGAAAGGGGAGGGGCCAGCCCTGTGGGCAGGTAGATGGACTGCCTAAAAAGTAACCCTCAAACAGTGGCTTATGGTTGATTGGCATAAATCCTCATGTTAAAGAAATTAAAAATGTGTTTCTTTGATTTAACTGAACAAAACTGATTTTGAGTGTCCAGTTGATCCGAGGGTCCTGATCAGTCTGTGGTTCCCTCAGAGCTCTGGTTCTGTTGGATCAGTATCGCCAGAAGTCTCGTCTCTTCCGCTCTTCAGTTCTTCTCGTTCCTCTGGGTGACGACTTTCGTTACGTGGAGTCCAGAGAATGGGACGCTCAGTTCAGCAACTACCAGAAACTCTTTGATTACTTCGACCGGCACCCAGAGCTGCACATCAAGGTGAGCTCCAGGGGCACCTGGAGGGGCGGGGCTTACATTCATCAAGGTTTAGATTGATAGGTTACCAAACTGCAGTTAGAAAGAACTTGATCTGTGACCTTTATCATCCTGTAAACACTCAGCGGAGGTTATCTCACCACTCTTCTTTTGCGGTCCGTTTCAGGCCCGGTTCGGGACTCTGGCTGATTACTTTGCTGCTCTTCATCGGCGACTGAGCTCCACGGGAACATCTCTGCCGACGCTCCGTGGAGACTTCTTCACGTATGCTGACCGAGACGATCACTACTGGAGCGGCTACTTTACATCCCGACCGTTCTACAAACGTCTGGACAGAACCCTGGAGTCCACGCTCAGGTCAGCTCAGTGGGCGTGTCCCTACATCAGTGGGCGTGTCTCTACCTTAAGGGGCGTGTCCCTACCTCAGCCGGTGTGTCCTACCTGTGTCCTAAATGTCTCCTCTGTTCCACAGAGCAGCTGAAATCCTATTTAGCATCACATTGGCTGAAATACGCCGTTTTCGTGGCGACAGTCACATGTTTGAAGGTTTTCCAGCGCGTGAACACTTCCAGCATCTGACCACTGGGAGGCGGAGCTTGGGGCTGTTCCAGCACCATGATGCCGTCACCGGGACCGCCCGCGACCCTGTGGTGATTGATTATGGAACCAGGTGGCTACTTCCTGTTAGACAACCTTTTAGCATGTTGGTTAAGAAAGATTCAGCTTAGCTGTGGAGCTTTAACTCAGTTAGCATGTTTAAACTGAAGCCAAGTCAGATTCTTTAGGGATTAAAGTTAAAAAAAATGTGTGTGTGTGTGTGTGTGTGTGTGTGTGTGTGTGTGTGTGTGTGTGCTGTTGAGTCACATTCAGATTTAAAATAAACATAAGACTTCTCTGAAACTCTAAATAACAAGGAAAACAAACTGTCAGAGCACATAAGGTAACATTTAAAGCAGGGGTCACCAACCTTTTTGGAACTGAGAGCTACTTCAGTGGACCGAGTGACACGAAGGGCTTCTTGTTTGATCCAAACAAATTTGCATGGTTCACCTTTAATTATAGTATTATTACTAATCCATTTATATACTGTACATGTGATTATATGACTGCCTGATCACATCTTAATAGTAAGGACTTCCGCAATATCCTGATGAATGATCAATAATCCAGGTAGAAAAATCCAAAAAAGTTCAATCTGGTCCTCTGGACATTCAAAAAAACAAAACAAAAATATGTAGAAACGTTTCGTCTCTCATCCTTTGACTTTTTGACTTTGCTTTGTTTTGTTTTGTTGTTTTTTTGAATGTCCAGAGGACCAGATTGAACTTTTTTGGACTTCCGCAATGATTATCAGTAAGGATTTAGCATGGCAGATATGATCAATTATTATTGATAATTGGTGATTAGAACTCAATCAAGAACTTGAGCCCTCAGTTTGAATCCTGTTTTAGGCTCTTCTGTGGGACTGTAACTAGTCCCTAGCTGAGACTGGGAGTGTGGATGGTTGTTTGTCTTTGTCTGTGTCTCTGCGGTGGACAGGAGACCTGTCCTGGGTGTCTTTGTGATGGACAGGAGACCTGTCCTGGGTGTCTTTGTGATGGACAGGAGACCTGTTCAGGGTGTCCCCTGCCTTCATACAAAAGCAGCTGAGATGGGCTCCAGTCCCAACAAGGGGGCATAATGGATGACGTACTATAACAGAAAACTGATATTTAAACATAAAACACTATTTCTTTTATGTTGGTCTCAATCAGTAACATTTGAAATTCAGTGTATTTTATAAATTAACAGTTTTGTAGGAATGAACACATTTGTATCATTCGTTTAAAATATGCTTTTTACTGTTAACTTCTGTAACATTTTATAAGAACCTAATAACGGTGAAATTTTCCAATCAAGCCCTGTTTGCACTAACTGTTGTTAGTAACACTTCAGAAGAACTACAACTGAACGGTCACTTTAGTACTGATCTTCAGATCGGCAGCATTTTTAACTAACCATAACATATTTTACTCTTTTTAAATAAATTATTTTTCACATATTTCATCATTGCTTTACACCCCCCCCCCCCCCCCCCCAAGACCTCCCCATCTGAAAATGCCTCATGAAAAACGCCTCCATCTGCCTTTAACACTCACATTCTGCCTGTTGTGAGCCACCAGGGGGGTACTGGTAGTTAGCATTGAAGCTAGCGTGTTAGCTGGTGAAGTGTCGCTCCACGCTGTGCTTTGGTGTCACCACAGCCCACTAATGAGACACAGACACACTTGTCTTTGACAACTGTAAAAAGACCTCTTCCTCACAGTCACTGTGAAAATGTTTTCTTACGTTTTTCTGCCATTTTCCCCTCTGGGAGGTAAAAATAGCTTGTATCTGCACCACTGCAGACATGGCAGTAGCCGTCTGCAGCTGCACATGATTCCCAACTTTTACCCCAGGCAAGGTTGCTAAGCTGTAAACGCAAAACTATTTCTTTTAAAAGTTTTTATTAATTATTTTCATTTCAAATCTAAATCCTTGCAAATGTTATTTCTTAAATTTAAAAATATAATTAATCATGATTTTTAGGTGGTGCTCCTTGATGAGTGCTATTTTTAGAACATGCGCCGCGGGCGACTCGAGGTCCCTGCGGGCGACCAGGTGCCCACGAGCACCGCATTGGTGACCTCTGATTTAAAGAGTAAGATAAAAGGTAAAGGTTATAATCTGTTTAAACTCTACTTATTTCAGAGTTTACATTTCTTTCACTGGTAAACGGATATTAGCATGTGAGCGATGTTGAAGTAAAAGTTCCAACCAGTGGTGTTTTGTTGGCATGCTCATGTTATAATGTGATTAATACTAACTTTTTATTTATTTCTTTTATAAAAAGTTGTTTGGAACTGTAGGACCTGTGTAGCCACTTTAGCATTAGCTTGTTTTGTCTCATTTCCCTCCCATGCTCTCTGTTTAAGGATGGCATCGCTGCAGAAATTGCTCAGAGGTAATGTGTCCATCGATGTGAGCGGTTAGCATGTAGCATTAGCATCTCATCCCAGCCATTCATTTAGAGCCATCATCTAACAATCTCCATCATTCCCATTTTTATCATGTGGTTAGCATGTTGTTAGCCTGTTGCTAGCACATTTTTAGCCTCTTGTTGGCACGTTATGAGCTTGCTGTTAGCATGTTGTTAGCCTGTTGCTAGCAGTTGTTAGCACATTGTTAGCCTGTTGTTAGCACGTTGTGAGCCTGCTGTTAGCACGTTGTGAGCCTGTTGTTAGCCTGTTGCTAGCACATTGTTAGTCTGTTGTTACCAAGTTGCTAGCATGTTGTTAGCTTGCTGTTAGTCTGTTGTTACCAAGTTGCTAGCATGTTGTTAGCTTGCTGTTAGTCTGTTGTTAGCAAATTGTTAGCGCACTCTTAGCCTGCTGTTAGCATGTTTTATTGTTGTGAAGTTGTGGTTTGTTAGGTCATGAAAAAAATCACACTTGTAATTTTTAACAGTTGATTTTTGAACGAAACGCTGAGATTCTTTGACTCTTTCTTTCTTTTACAGATTGTTTCATGCCATCCTGAACCTGCGGCAGGTCATACAGAGCTCCGCCCACTGGCTGCTCCTGTTGGACAAGAGCCAGTACCACTACGACCAATCAAAACCCTTCCTGCACACGGTGACCTTTGACCTCAGTACCTGTTATGTTTCAGATTTAGATTTTACATTAGAAGTTTTCAGTGTGGACTCACCTGTGCTCACCTGTGTTAACCTATGAAGTGTTTTTGTAGTCTAGAAATGGTAAACTGATTCTGTGATGATTTTCTAGGACGAGGTGATCTCAGCGCAGGATGCTCTGCCTCAGAAGACGACGCTCGTACTCAGTGACAATCCCAGGTAAAGAGTTGTGTCCTGAACACTTATCAGGTGGTTGCTGGTATTGAATATTGCTTTTTGTTGCAGGTTGGTTGTCTTTAACCCCACAGAGCAGCTCCGTACCTCCGTCATCAGTGTTGTTGTCGATTCTCCAGACGCTCGTGTAGTTGATGCAGAAACTGGTCAGCCAATGGCTGCACAGATCTCTGCGGTGTGGGCGGAGCCAAGCAGAGTGTCTGCAGAGGCCTTCCAGGTGAAGACTGGATCAATGATTGATTTACTAATCAGCACAGATTGTTTTTATGCCTTCTGTTTGTTTCTTTGTCAAGCTCTCCTTCATTGCTGAACTTCCACCTCTGTCCCTGGTCGTGTATCATGTGACCAAAGCCTCTCCTGGCTCCACCCCCAGGGCCCGCTACAACATTCATCGTCATGGCAGCTCACTGACCATACAGTCTGAGCACTTCCAGGTGTCTCCTCTGGAAGGAAAGGAGGTCAACACCCCTCTGACTCTGAGCAACAAGCACCTTCAGATATGGAGCTCCCCCGACACTGGCCTTCTACAGGTCTGACCCTTCAAAATAAAAGCTTGAGTCACCTGGTGTTCAGGAACTTATAAAACCTTCATACAAATGTAGAAAAATTTTGGACTCATTGAGTAAAAGTGCCAAAAGAGTTAAAGGGGAGTGGTGGTGCAGAGGTTAGAAAAGATGGGCCTGTGATCGGAAGGTGGCAGGTTTGACTCCCCGGACCGACGACATCAAAATGTGGGTGGAAAAAGTGAAGCACCTATACCTGCCTCCACCCTTCTTTGTCCTACTCTGGGCCGTTGAGCAAGGCCCGTAACCCCCACCATCTGCTCCCAAACAGGTCTTGCTTGAAAATGAGTCCTTGTGACTCAATGAGACTTCCTGGATAAATAAAGGTTAAATAAATAAAATACAGACACTACAAAATAAATGTATTAATTTAAAGTTTAAATTTAAAATGTTTTATTTTTAAATTGAATTGTTTTGTTAGTCAGAATATTTGATCAAATGTTCAGTTTTAATCATCCACATCTTGACAAAATGTGTCGATTTTGAAATTTAGAAGGTCCGCCTTCAGTCCGGTCTGGTTCGTCAGGTCCAGGTCCAGTTCTTTTGGTACGGAACCAGAAGCTCAGCGAACAAAGACAAGAGTGGAGCGTACCTGTTCCTGCCGGGGGAGGAGGGGCCTCAGGTGAGGGATTATTCAGAGCAGGACGTTTTCTCTGTTTTATGATTCATTGTGTCTTACCCACCCCACCACCCCCCTTCAGCCCTACTCATCCTCTGAGCCCCCACTGGTCCGGGTCACTAGAGGTCCGGTCTTCTCTGCCATCACTTCCTGCTACAAACACTTCACACACACGGTCCAGCTCTTCCACCTGGACGGTAACAAGATTTTCTTCTTCGTTTGCCTCATTAAAATGTTAAAAGTTCAGTTGTGTGCCCTGAGTTCTGCCTGTCAGGTTCTGCCTGCAGAGAGAACTCGGGGCTCAAAGTCTAAACGTTACAGATTTAATTTTGTTTTGATTAAAGTTTACTTTCAGTTGTTTCCGTCTTTTCTTCTGTTCATATTTAATTTAAAACAAAGGAATGCTGTTTTCAGATGAGTAAAGTTTTACCATTTGTTTCTGTTGTCACTGGTTGTGTTTGTTTAGGAAGACAAATATGTTCCTGGAAGTTTTGCTCTTTATGTAAAATACTTTCAAAATAAAAGTCTTGTTTTTCTGTCCCAGGGCATGCTGGGAAATCTCTGGAGGTTTTCAACGTAGTGGACATCAGGTCAGAGGTCAACCGGGAGCTTGTTATGAGATTTGTCAGTGACGTTGTCAGTGGCAACCGTTTCTACAGCGACCTCAATGGTTTCCAGGTTTTTACTCCATTATTTGTTTGTCAGCGTTTATTTTGACATGCTTATGAACGTCCAATCAGATGCTTCCCTTACTGTGATGTCACATTCTGATAAAACCATGAAACTGTTTATTGATCATTTGTAGATTGATTGTTTGACAGCTTGTTAATTAGTTTTCGATCAAATGTTAAATATTGGCAGGCTGATCTTCGGCTTATATTCAGCTAATGATCAGCTGACCTTGGGCTGACGAGCCTTCTGATTGGTCGTTGCAGATGCAGCAGCGGCGGACCCTGGAGAAGCTCCCCCTGCAGGCCAACTTTTACCCGATGAGTTCTTCTTCGTTCCTCCAGGACTCCAGGAGCCGCCTGACGCTACTGTCGGCTCAGAGTCAGGCCGTGGCCTCGCTGCACTCAGGTGAGGCCTCGTCTGTACCTGAGCAGGTGTCTCACCTCTTTACTTGACTCATCTCTACCTGAGCAGGTGAACTGGAGGTGGTGCTGGACCGGCGGCTGCAGCAGGATGATAACCGTGGCCTCGGTCAGGGCGTCACCGACAACAAGCTGACAGCGAGTCTCTACCACCTGTTGCTGGAGGAGCGCCAGGGTGGGGCTCAGGTGAGGGGGTGGAGTTGCTGTCTTCAGATAGATGATGTCAAGACTTGTGCTGTAATGCTGCATCCTGTTACCACGGTTACCTGCATAACACTGGGGGGGAGGGGGGGGGACCACCTGTGATGGAAACCTGCAGGTGGACCTGGATGTAGTTTTGTGGTTTTATTTCCTCACTCAGATCTACCCGTTTTCTCTCTGATGACAGGAAGTGGGAGGAGCCTCAATAGAGCACCTGTCTCTGCTCGCCCACCTAACCTCTCTATCGCTCTGCCACCCGCCAATCACCATGGTCGCTCCAAGTGACAGCCAGCAGCCGAAGCTCCGCCCCTTCCTGCCCCTGCACTCGTCTTTGCCATGTGACATCCACCTGCTGAACCTGAGGACGCTGGAGGACCCACAGGTGAGTGCTGAGGTCACTTCCTGTAGTCGGGTATTGATGTGAGCAGCTGATGGATCACTTCAACACATTCTGTTGAGAGGAACTGGGTCGGTTCTGGTCCAGTCTGATATATAGGTCCTACTGGGTCTATACCAGTCTTCTTTAATTGAAACAATAAATGTCTGTTTGTAAACAGGAAGTAGGAAGTCCATCACAGGAAGTGGCTCTCCTCCTCCACAGGAAGGGATTTGACTGTAGCTCCGTCCCCAGTCCTCAGCCTTCATGCACATGGAGCGTGCACGAGGAGGTGATCTGATATTTACATTTTAGTGGTTTTTTTTTAGTTTTTAAAGTTCCGTCATCAGAAACAGATTTCTACTTTTTTGTTTTTCTAAAATGACTTGTTTGTTTTTGTTTATTTATTTGTCTTTAGGTGGACCTGGAGGGCCTCTTCGCTCCTCTTCGGTTCCGTTCGCTCCGACGTTCGGGCCTCACTCTGCTGCGTGACCACGATGAGCCAGGCTCCGCCCACCAGCAGCGACACGTTGCTCGGCTGCGTCCGATGGAGATCAATGCGTTCCGAGTTCAGATGGACTGAACAGATGGAGCTCCAAACAACGTCAGATTGCAGCCAGAAGGTTTAAGCTGTTACACTTCAGACAGGAAGCAGGAGGTCAGGTTTTCACAATAAAACCATCAGAGGCCAGATTTTCATACACAAATAAAACACTGAAGCTCTCGTTGCTACGGCAACACAATAGGACCAATCGACCAGTGAATGTGCGTTTCCATGGCAACGCTCTGTTACTGTACTACTTGTAAATGTGGGGATTTATTGGATGTTTCTACTGATTCTTATGCTGGTGAAAAAGGGAATTCTGGGAAATGTAGTCCAATTTTATTCTGAGAGTTTCTATATTTTCTGTAAACTGGTGATACTAAGAAATGTGAACGTTTTTCTGTGAAATTCTATGAAAATTTTTTATTTTTTTGGTAAAAATCTGGTAAAATAGAAAATAAATTGTTTGAATGAACCTGCAGGTGTTTTATTTTGGAGACGGGAAGTGACGTCTTAATGATTAGAAATTGACACTTTTATTTTGTACAGGAAGTCAGGGACTTCCTTTTTTTTTTGTTAGCTGGCTTGAAAACATCTGTTTGACTGTCAGCAAAATATCTGATAACCAGTCAGCCACAGCCGCCCTGAATGAAAAGAAAAGCTTGGTATGGTTAAGACCGTTAACTGATGAGAGTTTACAATTGGACAGATAATGTAGCCACTCCCCTTCACAAGATTTAGTGAAGAAACGTTACTTCAGTTTCAGACAGAATACTTAACATCTAAATCCAGTTACTACGAACACAGTGAAAGGGCTGGGCGTTTACTCGCACATCAGCTCAGGCGACATTCAGCTAACCAAACCATTCCAACAATAAATAACGACCAAGGAGCTGAATGTCACAATAATGCTGGAGTTAATAGATGTTTTAGTAAATTGTACCAATCATTGTTTATGAGTCATCAGCTAACCAATTACAGGACTTTAAGGATGTCAAACTTCCTTCAGTGGGTCTTGATCTGGCCAAAGATTTGGAGAAAGTTCTCTGTAGCTGAGATAAATTTTGCGATCAACAATATGCAAAATGGGCAGTCCCAGAGCCAGATGGATTTCAAATTGAGTTTTTAAAGACCTTTTCAAATTTGTTCTCACCTTTATTCAGGGGTGTAGTCTACATTTTTGTAGTGGATATTGTCACACCAGAGGTGTTTACCCAAAGAACGGACTGAAGGATAACAGACTCAGAATGATAATAAGTGATTTATTTTACAGCGATAATAACAGTCTCTATATGCAGGTGCTACTCACTGGGAATCCCTGGAAGGGAAGATTAGAGACTCATTTAAATTCAATTCAGTTTATTTCTATAGCGCAAAATCACAACAAAGTTGTCTCAGGGCACTTTACAGAAACATTCACATAAAAGCCAATTAGTAAAGTTCTCTATCTAAGGAATCCAGCAGACAAGTTGAATCTGGGCTTCGTTGCAGTCTCCCATCCTGAGCAAGTACAGTGGCAACAGTGGAAAGAAAAAACTCCCTTTGAACAGGAAGAAACCTCCAGCAGAACCAGGTTCAGGACAAGTGTCCATCTGCTTTGACCGGCTGGTTGAGAGGACAGGAAGGAGAGACAGACGAACACAGAATGGCTGGTCCAGGTATAGGTCCAGGTGTACCTGAAAGACAAAAAAAAAAAAAAACATGTTAAGGATAGAAAAAATAATTACAAATACGAAACAGGTTGAGCAGGAAGTACACCTGTTTTACAGCACGTGGCGCTGTGAAAACTTTCTACATGAAACGGCGAAGAAGAACCAGAAAGTGTCTGTCGGGTGTAAACAGAAGCTTCAGTCCACTCGTGGCTTCCTCGGGCGTTTGCTGACAGCTGCAGGTGGATTCATGACGGCTCAGGTGAGTTTCACCTGCAGGAAAATGTCTACCAGACTCAGTGCAGATTCCGTCTGATTTTAGCTGCTCTGGGTTGGTCAGAATTACAGAAGCTCCCGAACAGATCCATAAAAACCGGATAAAAACTGGTGAACAGATGAGTGAGTTGTAGCCGAACTGCAAACGAACCCAAGAGGGTTCAGGTGATTTAGTCCTTTATGAGTCCATGCTCACCTGGTGGTGTTAACACCGGAAATATTTAAATCCGTGTGTTTTCAAACGGAAGTTCTGAATGAGATGAGCGCGCGTTTGCCCGGAACGCAAACAGGAGACATAAGAATTCGTGCTGAGCGCGAGGAGTGGTGGATCAGATCACACTCACGTGGACAGAGGCACATGGGTATGGAGAGCCATCTGGATCAGACACGCGTGAATATTTCTCGTGCCTTTGACGCGTAAACTACGTGTTAACACATGTTAACTACACATGAAGAGGCAAATTTGCGCTTTAAAATAAAACGTAAACAACGTGCGAACATCACGTAAAGTATGTGTTGCGTACGCGTTGTTAACACGTAGTTTATGCGTTAATTACGCATGAACATTTAAACATATGTCTGACTTGTTAACACCCACTTTACTTGTTAAAGCAAAGTTTACAATGCGTTGATCTGCAGCTCAGTTTTATTAAGACAAGTTTGAGAAAACTTAAAGAAAAAGTCAACAAATTACAGAGTCAACGAAGTAACAAGTTACTAAATCCATCCATTATTGTTTACCCGCTTCTTCCACTTTTGGGTCACGGGGCTGGTGCCCATGTCTAACAATTACTGCGAGGGGCGGGGTACACCCTGGACAGGTCTCCAGTCCATCACAGGGCCACATAGAGACAAACGAGACAAACAACCATTCACTCTCTCATTCACACCTAAGGACAATTTAGAGTTACCAATCAGCCTAACATGCATGTTTTTGGTCTGTGGGAGGAAACCGGAGTACCCGGAGAAAACCCACGCATGCACGGAGAGAACATGCAAACTCCACCCAGAAAGGCCCCTGGACCGGGATTTGAACCGGGAACCTGCTCTCTGACAGGCAGCAGCTCTACCAGTTGCGCCACCGAATCATCAAAGTGAAAAGTTACCAAGTCAACAACGTGTTACCAAATCATTGAGGTGATAAGTTAACAAGTCAACGACACGACAAGTTACCAAATCATTGAGGTGATAAGTTAACAAGTCAACGACACGGCAAGTTACCAAATCATGAAGTTGACGTGTTACCAAGTCAACAATGTGGCAAGTTACCAAATCATTGAGGTGACAAGTTACCAAGTCATTGAAGTGACAAGTTACCAAGTCATTGAAGTGACAAGTTATCAAATCATTGAGGTGACAAGTTAACAAGTCAACGAGGTGACAAGTTACCAAGTCATTGAAGTGACAAGTTACCAAGTCATTGAAGTGACAAGTTACCAAGTCATTGAAGTGACAAGTTACTAAGTCAAGGACTTGGAAAGTTACCAAATCATCGAAGTGGCAAGTAACCAAGTCAACGAGTTGCCAAGTTTCCATGTCAACAAGGTGACAAGTTTCCAAGTTAATTAGTTAACAAGTTACCAAGTCAACAAAGAATTGAACCAAGGAGCTAGTTTCCTCTGAATAATTACTTTCTTTTGGGGTGGCTGTGGCTGAGTGGTTAGAGTAGTCGTCCTCCAATGCGAGAGTTGGGGGTTCGAATCCACCAGCAGTCACATGTTGAAGTGTCCCTGGGCAAGACACTGAACCCCTCATAGCCTCTGATGCGTGTCCCATCGGAGTATGAATGTGATCTAAAAGCACTGATTAGTCTCTTTAGAATGATTTGTTCAATTAGCTTTGTAGAGATCTAGTAGAGTGCTGTATGAACGGGTAAATGAGGCACAGATTGTTGTGTAAAGAGCTTTGAGTATCTTGAAATAAGATAGAAAGGCGCTATATAAGTACAGTCCATTTACCATTTACCATTCTTTTTCAGCAGAGCATTTTTATTGAGCGAAGTTTGTAAAGAAGTTGTAAATTTATCAATCAGATCATCTAAGTCTATGCTCTGTACTGCATTACTCTGCAAGACAGAGGTAAATATCAATGGAAAAGATTATTTTAATTTGGTTACAGCATTCTCTGAGAAACACCTGCTATAATGAAATTTACTCTCAGTGGCTGTGTAGACATTTAATGTAAACTCAAAGGTTATTAAAAATGATCGGACAGAACAGGATTTTGAGGATGTACATGTATTACTTAGTCCTTAATCTCTGGCCATATGTCAGAACTAGGTGAAGAGTGTGATGATGAGATTGAGTAGATGTGTGGACATTTTGGGTTAAACCAGTTTACTCTATTAAATTATTAAAGGCTATGCTTAAGCTATCACTTTCAGCATCTACATGAATTGAATTTAAACCCCCCATTAAACCCCCCATTATTATGACTAACAGTATTCAGTAATATCCTGATGCATGCTCAATAATCCAGGTAGAAAAATCCAAAAAAGTTCAATCTGGTCCTCTGGACATTCAAAAAAACAAAAAAATAAAACAAAGCAAAAAAATGTAGAAACGTTTCGTCTCTCATCCAAGAGACTTCCTCAGTCTGAGGTGCTGTATTCAGCTCAGTCTCTTAAATAGCACCTTCTCAGAGTGGATCAACCAGTTT